CCCCCAAAAGGTGGTGGTGGTGGTAGGAATCATCACTACTGCCTTGTTTCCAGCAATCAACAAGAAACTTGTTCAGGTAAGAGGTATCTTGGTGAGCAGCAACCCCTTATCAAATAACATGGTTGCCAAAGAAAGCTGGTCCTCCACACTGTCACAGGGCAGGTCCCCTACTCTCACAAACTCTGGGTAAGAGCGGAGCAAGAGTTCCATGGCATCAGCTTGCTGGGGTAATATCTCCAAGCACTTGGGTTCTTCCAGATGATAAACACGAGAGTTCTCCACTGTATAATAGAGAAATAAATGGCCTCCCTCACCCACCAGCCGAGCTATCCCATCCTGAAGCATGTGCACTTCTGTTTCTGTTGTCAACTGGGCTCCCACGTTTACAGGTTCTCCAGCCTCCCAGCGAATTGGGAGCCCATAAACACTTAGTGCCCTCTCCCTATCTGACAACACGGGAGGCAGAGAATCGTGGATAAAGTCTTTGGCTCGCTGGTCAGCCACAGCATCGACAGGAGCGAAGTGTCCCAAGCGGGCAACCAAGACCCGCACCTTCTCCATGAAAGCAGTTCTTCGAGGATCCTTAGAATCCGAATGCTGGGCTCCCATGTAATCCATGAAGTCTCGGGGCAGGCCCCTACGGAACTCCACATTTTCTTCCATTGCAGCCTGCACTGCCAGAGGCAGTACGGCCTCCAGGAAGTCACCCCAGGTATTGCGCTGGTACGTGGACAAGGTGAGGTGCAGAGAGTGCACTCCATCCTGGCATTCGGCTTGATGAATGAAACCCCGAGGAAAATAGAGCAAATCTCCAGGTTCCAGCACGGCCTGCAGCACCGGCTCACCAAGGTCGTCCTGGCTGAAGTTGGGGCTGGATGTCAGGGCCAGTTCCTCAGTTGGGACCCGGGGTCGGTAGACACGCCAGAGTTTCCTTCCTTCCAGCTGCAACACAAAAGCCTCGATGTCGTCGTAGTGAGGAGCAAAGCCCTGCGAATTGGGGGGCGTGAGGTAAGCGTTGGAGCCCGCCATACTTCCAAACTGCTCCTGGAGCACAGCCAAAAACTGCCACACGGTGGTCGAGAAAGCCTGCGGACAAAGGAGGCGCAAGGAGCAGCCCGCCTGGTACAGGGACCACGCAGCGGCAGGCAGGGCGCGCCCGGGTGGATTCAAGGTCTCGCGCCGCCCATTGATGTAGCGCGCGGCGTCCAGATGCTGCCCGAACTGCACCTCCTCGTTGCGCAGCATGGAGTCCAAATCGGCAGTAGAAAAGAGACCCTGATAGTAGGTGTGATCCTGCCGCCGTACCAGTACCGCCTCCCGCTCCCACAGGCGCCGGTAGAAGTGATCGGGTGGCATGGGCGCAATAAGCCATTCGAAGAGGCGTGCCGCCCGCCGCCGGCTGCTGGGGATGCGGTTAAGCTCCGCCAAGACGCGCTGCAACGGAGAATCCCAGGCTAGCTCCCCGCCCGTGCTGTCTACGAGCGGCCCCGACAGCGTCGCTGGGGCCACGGAAGGGGTCGCGGCCGCCAAGTGCTGGGCAGAGCACAGCAAAGCCGAGGTGTCCACCACGCGGGCCGGTGCGGCGGGTACCTCCACCAGGCGCGCCGACGGGGTTTGCAGGGAGTGGGCCGCGGGCGGGGCCTCCAGCAGCTCTGCAGGCCCCAGGTGGCCGTTCGGCTCTCGCCCGGCCGCATCTGAGGTGGCCGCAGCCCCTCCAGGAAGCGGGTCCCGGGGATAGTCCACTGTCGATTCCACCCTCGAGTCCTCCGAGTCCTCGCTTGGCAGCGTCTGGGCCCTCAATGCCGCCATGCGGGATACAGCGCTTCTCCTCAGCTGCCTTCGGATTTTCCTGGGCCTCATGGGCAAGACCAGCACCGACCCGCTGTGTGACTGTGGCTGGCGCCGGCGTCTCAACCGCCCACGCTTCAGCAAACCTGGGCTTACCCCGAGCCGGTCCATGATCGGACCCTCCTCCCAGCAGGGCCGGAGCCGGCGAGAAAGACGCTCACGCAGACGCCGCCGCGGTGTACTGTGGGAAGGGGGAGGACCTCCGGCCGCCGGGGTTTGGCCACGCCCATCAGTCTTCCAGCTCCGCCCCCCGCTCCTTCCGCTCGCCGTAGGAGCAAACGGTACCTTGATTTCTTTATTTTATAATTCTATAATACATTAACTATTTATTATATTTGTGTGCTCACCACCCCAAGTCAAGTCTCCTTCCATCTCCATTTAGGCCCCCTTATTCTCTTCTACCTCCACCCCCCCTTTTCCTCTGGTTATCACCATACCGTTATCTGTCAGTGAGGGGTTTTGTTTTGCTTTGTTTTGTTTTTGTTTGTTTTTGCTTGATCCCTCCACCTTTTTCACTCAGCCCCCCAACCCTTCCTCTCTGACAGCTGTTAGTCTGTTCTCTGTCTCTGTGAGTCTGTTTCTGTTTTGTTAATTTTGTTCATTAGACTCCCCATATAAATGAAATCATATGGTATTTGTCTTTTTCTGACTGGCTTATTTCGTTTAGCAAAAGGGTACCTTAATTGAAATGAGTGTTCACACTAGAGCCGCTGAGTCTCTGCCAAATTAACAAGGACTTCATATCTAGAGGGCAATTTAAAAATAAAGTTGCTGGGGACCTCAGGAAAAAGAAAGTTGACTACTTGACTCTTTTTCCTCCTAGTCTCTGCATATTGCAGTGTTGCCCCAAGATGTCCTAATTTCTGAACAGCATGTGCCCCAGCAGTTTTGCCAGAAAGAGCATAAATCTTGTTTTCAAGGAATGCCCTCAGACTGCTGTAATAAGAAGTAGAATGCTAGGTAAAGCCCCCCTGTGAAGCCATCTGGATCAGGGTTTTTGTTTGCCAGGAGTTTTTTGATTACTGCTTCAATTTCATCAGTTGTTACTGGCCTATTCAGGTTTTCTGTTTCTTCCTGATTTAGTTTTACATGATCTCACTCACATGTGGAATCTAATGAACAAAACAAACTGATGAACAAAATAGATCCAGAGACATAGAAGCACGGAACAGACTGACGAATCTTAGAGGGAAGTTGGGGGTAAGAGAGTGGGTGGGCAGAGATTAATCAAAGGAATTTACATGCTTATATGCATAAGCCAAGCTGTGGACAGTGTGGTGAAGGCCTGAGGGTGAGGGGGATGAGGAGTGGAGAGGATCAATTGGGGGAGAAAGGGGACATCTGTAATACTTTCAACAATAAAGATAAATTTTAAAAAATAAAATAAAATATATATATATTTTAAAAAGTAATGCTCTCAGGCAAACTTCGAGATTTTGTTCAAACCTTGGGTCCACCAGCTCCTCTTTGCTCTGCAGATGATGACATTGATTGAAGCTCTATGTAAGTAATTTCCTCCACCCAACTTCTCTTTGTACCTTCTCCATTACAAATTCTCCTGGTTGTTTCCTTCTCTCAGAAAAAGGAATTAGGGACTTTTCTACTTGCATTCTTTTTTTTTCTTCCTTTAAAAAATATTATATATATATTTATATTGCCTTAGAGAGAGAGGAAGGGAGAGAAAAGAGAAACATCAATGAGAGAAAAATATCTATGGGCTGCCTCCTGTATGCCCCCTACTGGGGGTAGAGCCTGCAACCCTGGCAGGTGCTCTTACCTGAAATCCAAGGGCAACCTCTTGCTGCATGGGTAAAGGCTCAACCAACTGAGCCACATAGGCCAGGGCTCTACGTGCATTCATGTTATCTGCCCTTCCCAGCCACTCTGGGATTTGATTTCATTAGCTACAACTTCTCTCTCTAGAATCTTCCATTTCATCTCTGAATCTTAAATCAACCTCTTAAATGTGGATCTCTCACTTACTGGAACTGTGGTAGGCATGAGGGTGCAATTGTTAAGAACAACATAGTCACTATGTCCACGTAACTACTCTTGTTTTGTACATAAAGATTACTTGTCTTCATTTGAATTATTTTAGATAAATTCCTAGGAATGGAATGTCTGAGTCAAAGGGCAAGATAATTTTTGTGATTATTAGTAGGTCTTACTGAACTCCCTCCAAAAAAGTTTACAGTGTTGCAAGCAATTATGAGCAGATTAGAGTAAATGGCTTCTAGGGCATTTTCTGTGGTTCTGTTTGATCTTTCAATTCTCTTCCTCAGTCATATTCCTATCCAAACACTTGCCAAATCTTTTAGATTTTATCCCTACCATGTGTCACATCCCCCCTTTTTATTTCTCATATGGTCTATTACAGTAGTCCTCAACTGAGGGCAATTTTGCCTCCAGAGGGGAATACTTTATTTGTGGGGTGGGGAGGGGGAAGGGAATGTTATAACATCTAGTGCAGCTATTTTCAACCTTTTTCATCTCAAGGCACAAATAACTAATTACTAAAATTCTGTAGCACACCAAAAAATATATTTTTTGTGGATCTAACAAAAACATTGGGTATAATTTTTATTCATTCACACTGATGGCTTATGTTGTGTTGGCTGTTGTCATTTTTTTATTTGACTGTCTAAGGGAAAAGAGGTCAGTGCCCCTGACTAAAAGTCAGGTAGTGCATGTTTTAAAAATTCTTGTAGCACACTGGTTGAAAATCGCTGATCTAATGGATAGAGGCCAGAGATGCTACAAAATAGCACAATGCAAAGAACAACCCCTCCGCCCAACAGATCATTGGTGAGGCTGAGAAACCCTGATTTATTATGTTGATCTAAGAACATCAGGCTAAGTAAAAGTCTTATAAGAGTTTATTTAAGCCAAATTTTCAGGACATGCCCAGAAGCAAGATCTTGAGGGATTGAGAAAATGCTCTGGAGAATGGCAGTGTTGTAGAGTATTTTATACATTAGAATTAAAGGAGGAGACATAAGGAAGGTTACATGAAATCCATTGGTGGTACAATAAGGAGGCAGAAAAAAGCAAAGCGGGGAAATCTGTAGAATTGGATAAAAGCAAAATGGAGAAACACTTCTTTTACATTGGTGGGTACAGGATAGTTAATTAATAATTAACGTTTACAGCAGATAGAGATGGTATGCGGGAATAAGATATAATTGAGGGGTTTTGTGGTCTCCTAATCTGGTGCCAGCATTTTTGCATTCCAGGGCTGGGAAAAGAAAATTACTCTGACCTTTCAAAGGTATGTTATCCTAGATGCATAAGGAAAATAGACAGAGTTCACTTAAAGCGAAGATTGACCTTTGCTAAGGAAGCTATAGGCCTGGGGCATGGGACATGACATGTCCTGTTAGAAATTTATGATCAGATCATCCTGTGGTCACTGAGCTTGTCAGTCCAGCCATGTCCCCCCACCTCATCCCCTGCTTGTCAAGTTTATTAAATAGCCCCTTTTCATTCACAAGTACAAGTAGCCTCCCAACTAGTCTCAGTTATAACTATAATCTCTCCCTCGTCAATTTGTAACATAGGTAGCTACAACATTCATTTTCTCAGGTTGTGGACCCAGATAGGCCATTGCTCTACTCAAACCCATCTGTGTTCCCCATCAACCAATCCATGCCCTTCAGCTAGGTACTAAAGTCACATAGAGTTACAGCCTTATCAGCCACAACTCTGCTAAACATTACTTCTACAAGTTAGACTATTTGCTGTTCCTTGCCTATGTTTTCCTCCATACATTTACTTATGCTGTTCCCCTAAATGCTGTCTCCCAATCATCTTTTATCAAAACGCTTATTAAAGTCCATCTTCTCCCCAAAGTCTCTCCTGTCTCTCTAATGACAAGAGAACTTTGACCCTTTCACATGAATTTGGCACATTGTGCCTATTTTGGTGTAATATGTTTCCTAAACTTCCTAGACTGTAAAATCCTTCAAGGAAAGGATTTCCTTATGCCTTTTGCTCTTAAAACTTTTAGCACACTTCTTCTCACATGGAAGGTTTACAGGAAATGTTTATTGGGAAGCAGACCAATCAGAATTGAGTCCCTCCCACTCATATATGGCACAAGCTTGGTCAAGTTACTCTCTCAGGTCTCAGGAATCCCATCTGTAAAATGAGAATAAAAATTGAACCTACTTGTTGTACTGGTAAAATAATGCATGTAAGGCACGTAGCACAGAGCCGGGCACAAAACTAAACACTTAAAAATGGTAGCTATAATAACAATAGATTATTATTATCATATAGCCCTGTATAACCCATATGATGACTGGGTGCCACTGGCCTAGTTCAGAGCAACTAAGAGTGGGGAAGGCAGAGAAGTTCTTGAATTGGGCTGGATGACAGAGTTGGATAGGGAGATTAGATTATTTTTGCGTATGCCCTGTGGTAGTTGAGTCAGTGGGGACGATCCTGTACCCACCAATATCAGACAAAGCCATTGTGTGAGGTATTGCTCTGCACAAAGTTACCCAGCCAAGAGCCAGAGTAGGGGATGAAAACATCTGATGTTCTCTTTCCAACTCCTGTGTTCTAGTCTAGAGCTGTGGTGTCTGAAGGAAGGGACAGCAGAGGGGGAGCCCTCTTCTTAATTGACACATAGACTGTGTGTATGCTGGTGAGACCCTATCATCAGATCCCTTGGGGAAATGCTGAAGAAGGCAGGTGAGGTTTGTCAAGAGGAGCTTTAATTGCTTTTCAAAGAGATTGGCTTTCAGTATACAATGGACACATTCTGCAGTGAACTAGGGGAATGAGCTGCGCTTGTCTGCTCACAAAGCTGAGGGAAAGTCTGCTCAGCTAGAGGAAGGCTGTAAATTTGTCTTTTCCACATCCTGTACAAATATCTCCTCCTCCCAGTTTTGCCTGTGACCGCACATCCTTTCTGTTTTTCAACATTTTGTGATTTCCTGGAAGAATATTGTTGGCTGTCTCCTAGTTTCCCTTGTAACTGGGAGGTTCCCTTTGGAGCCTGACTTATCTTTAATATCATCACTTTTCCTGTGGCTCTACTTAGTTCTCACTACAAAAGAAGATATTAATAACCATTTTCAGAAATATAATTTAATGACATGGAATAATGTTCTTAATATAGCAGAAGTGGGAAAAGCAGACACAAGTAATGTTACCAGGAAACCCTGGTGGGGTTCGGGGCTGCCTGTCGCTGTGTCCAATTCAACGGAGGCAGGGTTGAATCATATAACATGTTTATTGAGAAGGCCGGCCAACCAAGAAGACAGAGCGTACGAGCATCCAAAACCTATCTTCAGGAGTGGCCTGAGGGATCGGGTTATATGGGGCAAACTGAGGCTGGGAATGGAATACAGCTCCGTGCAGTCCTGGAAGTCATTCTTTTGACTTGATCTCAATAAGGTGATATCTTAACCCATTGTTCACAGCTGCTGTGCCACCTCCTTAATTGCTTCAGTCTAGGATCAAGAGGAGTATAGGGTGCAAAGGCCTAGGAGAAAGAAGCCTAGGGGGAAAAAAACTTAAATCCCTGCTTATATAAGTATATGTGTTCTACAGTTTTATAAGTAATATAATTATATTTCAGATTAATTCAGGTGCTCAATCTTTGGAAATTATAAGCACCCCTATCAGTAATACAGTAGGATCCCACTTGGGACATAGGTATTTTGTGTGTCAATGTGTATGTGTATATCTATCCACTCGTACATAGATCCATTCACACTACTGAAAAAAAGTATGGGAGCCTTTACACTGCAATATTTAACAGTGGTTATCTTTGGATGGTGGGATTCCAGGTGTGTTTTTTCTTCTTTGCTTATTTTTATGTTTTGTACTTTCTCCATTGAACATGTATCACTTGTGCCATTAAAAATATGGTGTTTTTTGCCCGGCTGGGCGTGGTTCAGCGGTTGAGCATCGACCTAGGATCCAGACGATCAGAGTTCGATTCCTGGTCAGGGCACATGCCCGGGTTGTGGGCTCAATCCCCCCCCAGTTGGGGGCGTGCAGGAGGCAGCCAATCAATGACTCTCTCATCATTGATGTTTCTATCTCTCTCCCCCTCTCCCTTCCTCTCTCTGAAATCAATAAAGATATATTTAAATATATATATATGGTGTTTTTTAAACCATAAACTTCATTTTCCCTGACGCGTCTCATTTTTCCAGATCTCTAATCATTGCTTGCCTAGCTTTTCTGTGTTTTTTTTTTTTTAGTTAATCCTCACCTGAGGTAATTTTTTCCATTGCTTTTTAGAGAGAGTGGAAGGGAGGGAGGGAGGGTAAGAGAGAGAGAGAGAAACATCGATGTGAGAGAGACACATCAACGGGGTGCCTCCTTCATTCACTCAACTAGGAATCCAACCCCATGGCCCTTGGGTGTGTGGGCCGACCCTCTAACCACTGAGCCACACTGGTCAGGGCTCTTCTGTTTTTTTAATCTATAATTCCCATTTTAAAAACTTCAAAGGAACTTGACATTAAGATTATCACTAACCTTTTTATTATGCCTATAGTTTTACATTTTCCAGAATGTCATATAATTAAAATCATACATTATATGTAGCCTTTTCAGGCTGGCTCTTTCACTTAGCAATCAGTACACATTTAAGGAGGTTCATCCATGTCTTTTTTGTGGTTTGATAGCTCATTTCTTATCTTTGACCACTATTCCATTGATGTACCACAATTTGTTTTTCCATTCACATATTGAAGGACATTTGGTTCCCTCTTATTTTTGGTGATCATGAATAAAGTTACTACAAACATCTGTGTGCAGGTCAGACTTACTTTTTTTTAAAAAAAACATGTTTTTATTGATTTCAGAGAGAGGGAGAGAAATATAGAAGCATCAATGATGAGAGTCATTGATCGGCTGCCTCCTGCACG